TTCAACAGGTTAACAACCTTTCCATAGTGTTCCAATAACAGAGATCTTGCAATCAATATATGTGAAGGAGTGATCTGGGTATGTTTAAATTTATTTGGTGATGATGATAAATGCAAAGATCAAACATCACAAGAAACATACCAGAATGAACATAGATCTATTGAACACAAAAGAAAACATGAAGGAATTAATAATGATAATAAACATCAAGAAAAAGGACTTCAAACTAATAATCAATTTCAAAAATCACAAGAAACATGCCAGAATGAATATAGTAGATCTATTGAACACAAAAGAGAACATGAAGGAATTAATAATGGTAATAACATCAAGAAAAAAGACCTCAAACTAATAATCAACTTCAAAAATCACAAGAAACATGCCAGAATGAACATAGATCTATTGAACGCAAAATAAAACGTGAAGGAATAAATAATGGTAATGAACATCAAGAAAAAAGACCTTGAACTAATAATCGACTTCAAAAATCACAAGTCTATCAGAATGAATGGAGATCTGTTAAATCTTATTATAAAAAAATTACTCGTGTGTAAAAAAAAAATTAGTACTTTTATTATTATTAAAACAAAATAAAGCATATGTATAATATATATATACAGTGTGTTGTAAAAAAACCGGAAATTTTTATGTGAACTAAAAACGTGTATAGCGTCCCTACATTAAGCCTAATTCGTGCCGTATAAAAAATCAAGACGAACTTATATTTCAAAAATAAATATTGAAATCTTTTATAATTGATAATCTTTTTTGAGAAAATTAAATATATAATGCCTACTTCAAGACAAGAAATCCAACGTCAAGCTATATTACATTTATGGAATAACGGTGTATGTGAGGCCAAAGAAATAAATAAGTGTACAAAATTTCCTCTTTCTACCGTCTATGATAACATAAAAAAATTAAAAACAACTGGCAATTTGGAGGAAATGGCCGTCAAAAAAAAATTACTGCGGAAGCATCGAAAGCTTTGGGCAATATATACACAGAGATTCATCAATTTCGACTAGAACATTGGCAACAAAATTATCGGTAAATCATGTGCAAGTATCTTATTCAACTATCTCTAGACATATACACGAAAAAGGGTATAAAAAAGCCCTGCCAATGGCTACACCAATGTTAACAACATCTCATAAAGAAAACCGTGTACAATGGGCCCAACGACATCTTAATGACGATTGGAATAAAACATTATTTACCGATGAGACATCCTTTTTATTATTTAGAAATACTGTAGAACGTTGGTATAAAGATAAAAGGCCAGTTCGAAGGATGCCAAAGGATCGTACTAAAATTCACGCGTGGAGTGGTTTTTGTGTAGAAGGCAAAACAAGCCTTTTTTAAACAAATTATGGATGCGTCATTTTATGTGGAAATACTTAGCAGGCACGTTTCAGAAATAGAAGAAATGCTTGGGAATGAATAGATGTTTCAGCAAGACAATGACCCTAAGCATACAAGTCGTCTTGCAACGTCTTTCTTGCAGAAAATGTACCAAATGTTATAGACTGGCCTTCGAACAGCCCAGATTTGAATCCGATAGAAAATCTGTGGAGTGTTGTTAAAAGAAATGTTGAGAAAAGGATGCCACAAAATTGTGGAGAATTAGAACGATTTATGGTTAACGAATGGCAAAGTATTCCACATAATGTCCTAATTAATTTAGTAAATTCTATGCAATGCTGATGTGAGCTTATTATACAAAATAATGGAGAACATATACCATATTAATTTTTTATTAATAAAAACTACATTTTTTAGGCTTTTAAAAGAGATATTTTTTGTATCATTTGGGATGATCGTTTTGTTGTAATAACCAATTATATAATTCCGGTTTTTTTTTTGCAACACACTGTATATATATTAATTAAATTATAAATAAAAAAATTCTCTTGCTATACTTAAATTGTGTGCGAAAAAAAGTAGTTTATATTCGATTGTTCAAATTACAGCCGGTTAAATCAAAACGCCATATAAAACATATTTTTTATAGATTATAAATAATAAAATGATTGACAGACGGACGATGGTAAATTATTTGTTGATTCAGTTATTTATCACTTCATATTCATCATCAAATTTTTTTTAATCACCGTTTCCGTTGACATTTTTCAATTAAAATAATAATAATAAATAATACGCGTCGAATTTAGTGAAACAAGGATTTCCTTTTTTGAAGTGGCAAAAACAGGGTTACACGCAATTGAAATTTTAGATTTCTGTCATATGTTGGATTTTACATTGAAGTGTAAATAATTATTAATATTAGTTTCAGCAATCAACTTCAAAACGCGAAATAGTAATAATTCTACTATATAATATAAATATTGAAAAAATATGAATTCAAAAGTTACGGTTACACCCGATCATAAACATTCCATTTTAACTCCAACAAACGAAGAGTTAACTATCTAATTTTTAATATGAAAAAGAGAAAATGGGTTTATTTACCTTATATATACTTTTTAAGATTAAATTATTTTACTTTCTTCTAGTCTTCGTCAAAACAATCAAAAGCCCCAAAATGACACAGTTGAGCCAATTGTTGAAGTGATCGGTTCACCTATTATAAAGGAATTATTACAAAATCCTTTCATTGTTGATAATAAGCAGGATAATGTTTAATCAAAACCACCACCACCATCACCAAATAGAGGAGCTTTATTTGATAAGGAATATAGATTTGCACAATTTTTGTAAGTATGGAAGAAATATTTAATTGATTAATTACGTATTTTAAAGCCATGGACATCAATATTATGTACCCCTAGATTATTATAATCGCTATGATGATTTAACGTAAATCAATCAATTACATATTTATATATTTATATACATTGTTGAGGTTTTTATTTGTTAATCTAAATGATTGGTTGCTCTTGTTTATTATTAATATTAATACAGATGGGCGTCTAAATTGTTTTAGGATATGTCTTAAAAGTCATAAATATTTAGTATCAGACAAAATGACAAAATATCAAAAATGTCCAAATATTGAAAAAATGATCGATTGCGATGGATGATACACAATTTTGTTTACCCAAAATTTTGTATATATCTCAAAAATGTTGTGAAATTGATAAAGAAAATTATTGAAATATTATGTTTGCTGTCTTGCTTTACTATCTCGTAGGATCTTGGGAAATATTGACCTTGTCAAATCAAGTAAAGTCTGACCCAAATATTTAAATTAATATTTCATTTCCCATTTGGAAATATTGCATAATAAACATATGAAAGCATTTTGGATGGTTCTGACCTTTAAAAGGCGACAATTATTTGGTTATTATCTGCTATGCATCGTTTAATTAAAAATACCAAGAAGACAAATCAATACAACTATAACAAAAATATCCACGTTGTTTTGAATCACTTGGTGATAAAGGTTCATCATTCTCCGGTTCAAACACTCTATCTAAAGAAATAGCAAAATCTGACTTTGGTAAATAAACGCCGAATATTAATTTTCGTTGTGTTATTTTTATAATTTGCTCAGCAGCTTAGAATAAATTATAATAACTAAACATTTCTGTTTTGACGCAATCTCCTTTACTGGTAATATAAAAATCTTTGTCATGCCTATTCCCATTTTTAAAGTTACTCGAGAATCAGTTTCTTTGAATAATTTCAAGAAAATCTTTTATTTGTTTCATCGATGTCTTTTTTATAAGGTTTATAATATCAACTGCTATTATTATTATATCGTGAGATGCTGGTGATTCAGTCCCACCAGCCTCCTTATCTTCGATTGTTTAAACAATGGCGTATTCAACTTCCTTAATACAGTCGGCACTCGAATAGTGAACCTAACGATTTGGTTTTTTGGACCATTTTTTCAAATCTTAAATCTTACTGTGTCTCGATGTTAAACACGAGTATTTTTAATGTGTAAACTGGTCAGTAGAATGATAATTAAGAATTCTAATAAATTTTATTTGCTCCGCTAAAAAAACTATTTTATTATTCAACAGCCTGTCAAACCAATGGCCCTAACCTCAAAACCAATGGGTTTTTGCTAGTATAAAGTATTCATAATAATAACGTTATGATCATACCGTACTGAATTTCGGTGTTCAAATAAAATCAGCGCATATGTATATATAGTGAATCGTATAATATAAGGAAGTTGAAGATTTTCCCATTTGATTACATATAAACTCTCCTTGATATAATGATCTTAATATAAATCCTCTATATTAAATAAAGAAAAAGAAGAATGCATTAGAATCAATCACTAAAATTTGATGGTGACTTTTTGTTGATGTTAAAGTTGTTCTTTAAATAATGCAATTTTATTCAAGATTTATTAGTGCGAAAAGAGCGCGCATTACCATGATTATGACAATAATAGATAATCAATGATCCTATATATGGAAATTTTAAACCCTCCATTAATGTTTTTATCACCAAAAAAGAGTATATATATCATCAGGATCTTAAAAATTAAATTTACATCGCGTTGATTTGCATTTATCAGCTATATTCTATTGTACTACTTTTAAATTGAGTTGTACAACTTTAAATATCGATTAACATCACGTTGTTTAAACGAAACAAGTGAAACCAGTGAAATATATATATGAGAAAATTTTTTAATTTACTTCTATAAAAAGAAAGCAATTTCCCGGAAAAAAAGATTGATTTGTAAAATAAAGGTATTGTTGATGATTAACCGTGTCATTGTTGCTAATTAAAGAATGATCTTCGAGGTTTCGAAATACTAATTACAATTATAAATTATTATTTTAAAAAAGCTAATTCTTTCTTACGACAAATAGATCAAAACTAATGTGAAATATATTGTTCTTAGACTTGTCAATTAAATTCATTGAAGAAATTAAAATATGGATTTTCTCTTTTGGTGGATATTTAAGGAATTACAGATTGTGTGACAAGTCATTCAAAAAAACTATAATTATACAAAAAATTTAAAGTTAAAAAATATTAGTAAGACCCGGCAAAAACGGTTTGTTCTTGTTTTACTCAATGCAATGAAATCCATATCCTAATTTTTAAAAAAAAACAATGATATTAAGATTAAATATAATATTTAATAAATGAATTCATTCGTTCATTATTACCTCCTTTGATAATTCAAAAAGAAATATCTCAGAATTAGTTTTAATTCTTTCAGGTGTAACAGATTTAGGTATAACAATAGCATCATGTTGATATCCCCATCTCAACAAGACTTGTGCCTCAGTAACCTCGTGTTTATCAGCAATTTCTCTAATAATGGGTACTTTGATTTTTTCCATTTACCAATTGTCCCTCTCCTAAGCTCAAGTAAAGCTTCTACCCTGATATTATGTTTTTTAGTCAATTCAATTATTTCTTTTTGTTCATCTTGATACAACAATAGGTGCAACTTGAATTGATGTACTGCTGTTACAACTTTACAATTAGCTAATAGATGTGTAAGACGTTTTGTTGTATAGTTGCATACTCCAATTGATCTAAGTTTACCTTCAGAATATAATTTTTCTAACACTTCCCAGCTTCCTTGACGATTGGTTTCATTCATAAGATCTCCTGGTTTAAGTCCTTACATCCTAGAATTTTATTTTATCTATTTCACTAATAGTAATGAAAAAAAAAAATCAATCGCGTCAACAAAAAAAAACCATACATAATAAATATTCTTTTTTTACAAAATGTCTTATACGACATTAAAAAGAAAAAAAGAAAGCCACAATAAAAATACATATGGATAAGTGTTTATCATAAGAATGGTGGTGGTTATCGCCACTTGTCGTCACTAGTTATTTAAAAAGAATGGTTATGTTATGTACTTGTTTTTTTATTAATGTCAACAATAATGAACAAGAAGTCCCAACCATCTCAAAACAAAATAATGAAGCCTTGTTCCATGATCTCAACCTAATCAACAACTTAAATGCTAATCAGTAAGTTTTGTCATTTTGAATTAATTAATTTGTAACTTGATTTAAACCCTGAATTTGTATTTACTTTTTAACTCTAATAGTGTGTTAATGGATTTAAAATACTCCCCTCTGAAGTCATTTTAACAATAATCAAATATTTAGATCCAGTGAGCATGTATAACATTATGCGAACATGCAAATAATTAAAACAAATCATATATTATGGTCGATATTTTCTAATGCAGAGAAATTGGTGGAATGATAAAAATAAAAGTGTTACTTTCAAAAGCCATATTCCAAGAAAATCATTTCAGGATCAGATGATAATTGTATAAATACATATTAATATGAAACTTTCCACTGGAAGATTAATTAATACTTTTAAAGGACATGAATATCATGTTTGTACATTACAAAACGTTGAGAATATATTGGTTTCTGGATCTGCTGACAAGAAAATTTGTATATGGGATCCCTCAAATGGTATGTGCATGCATGTACTCAAAGATAGTTATCCATTTAAAGAATGTAATGCAAAAATACAATACATTCCCAAATTTAGAAATTATGTATGCAGGTTATTAGCCACTACTCAAAGGCTATACAAGCACTGTTCTATGTCGTCAGATCAATAATGCCACAAAACATTAATTCAAGCCTCTTAATTGTCACTGGTTCAGAAGACTCTACATTAAAAATTTGGTGTTTACCTAACCTGAAAACTGATAAAATTCATCGATTACACCATCCTACTACACTTCCACCACTACCTGATAAAAATCAAAATCTACATATCCTCGCACTCTCCAAAATCACACTGGCTCAATCTGCACCTTAGCAGATGGGGTTAACACTTCGGTTAGCAGCAATAATGACTGGACGGTAAGAGTTTGGAATATAAACACTGGAGAATGTATATGGTGTTTATAAAGATGTTGTATGTGAAAATGAAATCTGAGAGGTTTGCAAATTCACATACGTGAAATTCAAATTAGCCAATCAGAATTTCATATCCAAACTCCCCACCCCCAAAATTTTAATTATAAATTTCACATAGTTTCAATTTCACATACAACAAGGACATATAAACAAAGAGTTTATTCTGTTTCTGCAAAAAAAAGATGCGCGAATGGATCTATGGATGGTGTTGTTAAAGCTTGGAATCTTAACAATGGCGCAAAACTCTGGACTATGACTTTTCGCTTTCATACTCTTCCCTTGTTAAAAATACTTTTTGTTAATAGGACTAGAACATATGGATCTTTGTGTAGATTATCTACACTTTTTTAATGTCACATTATTTCAGTTGCAAGAAATTCAAGGCTTTGCTTATTAGATCCTGAAAATGACAATGTAAAAATGAATTTTTCTGCACATAACCACCACATAAAATGTTTTCATAACGATATTGATAAAATAGTAACTGCAACTAATGTTGGTTTCCAAAACTGGAGAGTTTTGCATCTATGCGAAAGTCAAAAGGTTTCGCCATAAGTCGAAACTAGTTTTGACCTTTGACTTTTTGACTTTTGATTTAGTTTTGACATATAAATTTTAATTTTAGTTTTGACTATCACTTCTTCGAAATAGTTTCGGCAACCAATACTAACTGCAACTGATGAAGTGATATATTTAAGTGGTAACAATTCCATATCTAATTGATGAGTTATCAAGTGATTTAAGTAATGCTTGATAATACTTTCAATTTAATTTTTTTTTCACTTTTTTTGATATTAATCTTTATCAACTATATATTTATTATTTTGCTTTATTTTTATTACTATAGGCAAGTGAAATTTAATGATCGTTATTGTGTTACCGCTGTAAATATATATAATAATTATTATTATTGCTAACTAATTATCATCCCTACTCCCATGTGCAGTTTGAGGTCTCTGGTGATGATAAATTGACTGGTGATGGTGGCATTAATAGTAATGATCCTTCTTCATCTTGTGGATAAAGTTCCATAATCCCACAAATTCCAAAATCAATGACTTCAAAAGAAGTAACTTCATATTTCTATTGTCATTATAACATTTGATTTTAAATAAATTTAGTTGATTAAACAAACATAGAAATTGTCTTTGCTAAATACAATTCACACTTTTTATAACAGCAAGAACATTATCATTGTTATTAATAATCAGGGAATATGCCTATTACTATTATTATTATTAGCATAAGAAAGTAAATAATTTCTAAATTTGGATTGTTGAAACAAAATTACACAGTGTAGTGGGTTGAGTCATTTAACTGATAAATTTCAATACAAGTTTTTCTATCGACTATCAATAATTATTTTAACGGATTTAGCGAATTTTTTTTTATATACATTCAATTAATAACAAATTTAATGAAGCCATCACTCATTCTAATTTATTTTTATATAGGGGTAGTACATATAGGAGATTTGTCTGGTTTTGTTGCAAATATTGATAAACAAGCTAAGGCTTAGCTTCAAGAAAAAACTAATCAGCCACACTAATATTTTTTGTTTCCTTTTTATTTAAATTTTTTATTTGTAACACGATCACTGTAAGATTTAATGCATATAATTTATTAATTTAAAAAAATTTTTGACAAAAAAAATTAGCATGTCTAATTCAAATAAAGTAGAACAAGAAGAAACGATACTTCGTGAGTCACAAGAAGAAGAAGATTTTTACCCATTAGATCAAAGTAGTTCCCATGAATTGAATAGGCTGGTTGAGGAAGAAGATGATGAACAGAGGTTGATTCCGAATGCAGAGGAAAGACAGAGCGAGGTTTTTGATTTTGGTGATAACTTAATACCTCTGTCGTTAACGGAAACTCAAAGGAATCCGACACATTTAGAGAAAGAGGTTACATTTATGAATGGGTTGACGTTAATAGTAGGTTTAATGATTGGATCTGGAATATTTGCTTCTCCAGGCCCAGTTGCCGTGCATGCAGGCTCAGTTGGAATGTCGTTAATAGTTTGGCTTGTATGTGGATTTTTAGCTTGCACCGGTGCTCTTACATATGCAGAACTAGGTTCAGAAATCCCAATATCTGGTGGCGAACATCCTTATTTAGCACATGCATATGGAAGTCTACCTGCTTTTTTATTTAGTTGGACTGCTATAACATGTTTAAAGGTTAATAATATTTAACATTTTGTTTAAATATAATTTCATACATGTTTATATTTATTTGATTATTTTCCTCCATGCCCCTCAAAAAAATAATAACAATTAGCCAGGAGGAAACGCAATCATTGCAGTGATTTTTGCAGAATATATTAATCGCATAATATATCATTCAATATTTGGTGAAGATACAAGCCCATCACATGACACGCGTCTTTGGCTGAACAAGATAGTGGCATCCATATGTATAATAGTATTGTCATTGATTAATTCATATAGTGTACGACTAGCCACTCGAACACAAGATATATTTACAGTCTTGAAATTGGTTACATTGGCAGCTATTGCAGTTATAGGTTTTATAGTACTAGGAAAAGGTGGATTGACCAAGAATTTTGAGGGTAATTTGTTTGCGGGCTCGTCTACAAGATTGAGTGATTAAAAATTTATCCAAATGAGTCTTAATCAATGGTGTAATATAACTTTCATTATAACTTTCAAGACAGTATGTTGCCTTATAAGATACATTACAATGACTGTTATATGTAAAAAAATGCATTTTATAAACATTTTCTAAATGCTCGTGAAAATCAATCATTACTAATTCATTATCCTTAATGTTAGTAAAAATTCCTTTGTAATATTTATTTTGATCTTGATAGTTTTCTAATTCAATAAAACCTAAAAAATTTTTTTTTTTTGATAAATTTTATTTTCAATTTCAAAAGAAATTCCTTTTGAATAGTCAAAAAATTCTAAGGTTATTTTTTAAAAAAAACCAAATTAATACAAAATAATAGTGCATAAACTTATGAATTTTATATTAAAAAGATTACTTACTATAATAATTTTTATTTTTTTTGTGATTACTATATAGAAGGATATGCTTGTTATCAGAAACATCATCAATATAAATTTTATATGAATGATCTGGATCTTTAAGAGAAAAAAGTTTTTCAGTGGATTTAAAACATTTTCCTTGTTCAATTGTTCCATTATCAAAATTCACGGTCCATCCAACTATTGATCTATCTTCACTACTATAAGTTGCAAAAAATTTAAAATTTGAACTATATTTAATTTGATCAATTGAACACCCGTTATGTGGAGTGATTCCATTCAAATTGTTAATAATATTTGTATTTGCATTTATAGTGAAATTATTATCCTCAATATTCGTTTTTTCATTTTTTTCCGAGTATTTTTGATCCGTCACTACCACTTCTATATGAGAATTGTTGTCTTCCATGTATTATTCGTTTTATTTAAAAAATTAATATAAAATTTGTTATTTATTAATTTTTTTATAATTTTTTCCTTATAATAAAAAAGAAAAATCTACGAATTTTGGACGTATCATGTTTATTAAATATGAATTTAAATATAATATTGACCTTTGTTTATATCTTGTTTTGGGTTTATTGATTTATTAATTTAGTAAACTATAAACTATGTTCATCCTTCCTCTTATAATAAAAATTTGTGATCCAGAACTAATTGATTGAATAAAAGATAAAGATTAAACAGTCAGAACGGTAGTCACGTACAGTCGAAGCCTATTATAACGAATTTCGTCATGGCGGGCTTTTTTTACTTCCTTGATTAAAAGTATTACTCGTTATTATTATTATTATAGTAATGGTAATGAGTTTTGAGCACATAATAAAAATCGTTCAATATGGTTTTAACATTCGAATTTAAATTTTCACTTTTCTCAAAATAATTAGGCGTAAACTTGCTCGATGCTCGAAGTGGACTAATCAAGTTTTACGAGAACAGTAAATAAAAGCCAAAATCAAGGATTAGTAATTAAGTTTATTACAAAGTATCACGTTAACAAAGGGGCGTAAATTCTATTTTTAAATTTGTAAAATATATTCCCAAAAGATATAAAAAATCGGTAATGGTTGTAAACGTATTTGATCAACAAAAGGGCGTAAATTCTATTTCTAAATTTGGAAAATCTCGTTAAAATTGAATTCTGACAAACACTATCAAAAAGATATAAAAAGCCAGATGTAATCGGTAATGGTTGTGACATACTTGATAAATATCAAGTCCGCCTGAAGATGGATTGTATTCATGACCATAATAAATTCCCCATTCTATAATCAACTCATTGCTTGGGGTTTGTAATTCTGTTACTACACTATAACATCAAATATCTTTCCTTAACACGTTCGTTGTAAGGATTAAATTATTAATTACTATTATTGTCATTAATTAAGTATATCTGTAGTTGCACACTGATATCGTACAATAACCATAAGTTATGCAGTGATTTTGTTTGATTATGCGTTATTTTTCATTCTTTTATTATATTTGTGAATCAGTGTAACTGATAACATTTTTTCCTTGAATTGTATTAGATAACCTTCTTTAAAAATACTTCCATTCAAGACATAATAAGATATATTTTCAAAATCAACAAGGCTTGGACTTTTTATATGCAAAATTTTACTAATATAGACTTTTGGGAAAATTACCGGAACCGGAACACTGGAACAAAATTTCCAGTTTTTCTTGGTTCCAGTGATTTTTTTTCTGGGTCATCAATGGAACACTGGAACCACAGGAAAAACAGGAACCACCAGAAATATATAATAACAATGAATTACTGGAACCAATGAAACCAATAAATTTTAATTTTTTAATAATTTATTTGTTAATGAACAAACAAACTTTATAAAATTTTTCTAATATTATATTTATGATTGTTTTTCTGAAATAATGATACACAGTGAGTCTCGGTATTAGTATAACGGGTTATAATATTAATATTAAATAATAATAAATTTTTCTCGATATTACGGATAATGATGATCTTTGCTCTTTTGGGCTAATAAGAGTAATGACGCGCAATTATTAATATTAATATTAATGATGTAAAATAATTAGAAATAAACAGAATGTTAATTGCAATTTAATCCAACATATTGCTAGCTATTTCTTGGCAATGACACTATCAATATGTCATTTCTTTTTCTTACTCATATGCTAATGATTAAAGATTGTTTGTTAATGACTAATTCTGAAGTCATCATTCTTTATTCTTTACAAATGACCTCACTCTTAATTATTTTAGAAATGCTATTGTATTACTTCAAATAGGTATAAAAGATCTTTGATTTGGGAATTGAAAAATATCAACTTGATGTGTAATAATTAATTAAATTTTTAAATTTTTAATTAATTTAATAATTATTATTATTTGCATTCATTATTCAAAAATAAAATTAATTTTTTAATGTAACATGTATGTATCACATGATTTAATCAAAAATCCGATTTTTTACAGATATCTCGGTATAGCGGATGTCTCGGTATAGCGGATAAAATTTCTGGAACGAACATATCCGTTATACCGAGACTCACTGTGTACATCAAACTCAGTCCAAAATCTATCATATTTATTATATATATTAAAATTTCTTTTTTGATTAAAAAAAAAATTCAAACATTTGTTTATTTTTTTTAGCACATTTCAATTAGATTTTATTAGATCACATTCAGCAAAAATCTCAGAAGACTACATTGTGCATTAATTCTAAAATAAAAAAATATGTTTTAATGT